GGGGGGGGGGGTTTATAAATCAAGGGACTACATTACAGCATGCTACAGCGCATGTCGCGGTGCGACGTGTCACCTCACTCTTTTCGTCCTGGTCCTCCCACCGCGGAGCTGGTCCAGTTGGTCCAGTGGTCCCACGGCCTTTGTGGATGTCATTGAAGAACTTCGAGGCATCTTTTCCGGCCCACCTGTGACATGACGAAGTGGAACCCCAGAAGACGAGCTGGGAAAAAGCTGGGGGAAGACTTCAGTGGCGGAAGTTTCAGCCGCTCCACCGATGCCGAGGCGCGCCAGGATGGTGGTGGGCCCGCCAGGATGTCCTGAGCATGGCGCCCATGGCTGTGACGTGGACTGCACATGGCCCACATCACCCAGTCCACAGACCCGGTTCCGCGACGAATGCATCGGGGCCAGGCTTGGGGGTGCGGGGTGCGGTTTTCGACACTCGGAGGCTGCTACGAACATGGAAGTGGACAACACCAGTACCTGGTACCTCTGAAGAGTGATAATTATCACTCCGTTTTGTAATTGTCAATCTTTTGGACACTGGTGTGAAAAAAGCACTCCGGAGTGAGAATAGTTACTCCAGAATGGTTTTTGTTGCTCCGCAACGTATCTTGAACGCAAAGCGAACGTTAATTAACGCAAAGTGAACGCACTGCGAACGCAATCTGAACGCAATTGCGGTTGGACTGATTTTTTCCACTCCGGAGTGCTTTTTGTCACACCACTATCCAAAAGTTTGACAATTACACAACGGAGTGATAATTATCACTCTTCAGGGGTACCAGGTATACATATACTGTATATCGTCTTTGTTTTTTCTGTATCATATCGTTCTCCATGGTTTTCCTCAACCAAACATGGTGAAAAAGACATCGAACATCGAACACTTCATAACACTTCCTTGTTCAACGTCTCTCACGTCTCTTTTGTTTGGAGGGGGGAGACTTTTGCAGCACAAACTGTGCTCCTGAATGCTCCTGAGCTCTGCCATGCGCAGCTCGAGAAGCGAGGACCGGACCGTCGAAAGGACCCTGTTCGACCCGAGCGGCGGTCCATGAACTCCGTGAGGTCGTAGACCTTGCCGTTCAGCGCCACCCAGCCTCGTTGCCGGGTGCGAGAGGTGAGGCCGGTGTTCATGGAGGCCGCTGAGGCGAGCTTAGACATGGAGGGCGCTGAACTCGTCCGAACAAGGGGATCATTGGAAGGATCATGGCATGCACAACGGAAAACATCATGGCGATCTGATTGGTATGATCTTTTTAACATGCACGACATGTCATGGAAGAATTATGTGATATTAGATCGGGGGTTCAAAAGGCTACATGTCATGGACATACCATGGGAATTGGCATGATTGACTCACGTTTCACCCGCTTTTTCAACCAGCCACCCCAATGTACATACGTATGCCAGTCCCATGTAGTGTCTGAGATGGCTCCCCATCCAAAGGATGGTAACCCACCACTTGGCAAGTCAAGGAGATAAGCACCAACATCGTCCAAAAAAGGAGTTGCAATGTTCTCACTGCCTGCCTGTATACCCTCACTGCCTGTGCCTTGCCATCAATCGCGGGCCAAGCAGCAATCTTCAGGAATGCAGTGCCGGTTCACTTCGGACAAAGGGAAGTTCTTGGTGATCGCTGCATGTGGAGCCTGCGTTTTTTCAGATCACTCGTCGCGTTTTTTCTTCCATCGCACAGCTGAAGGCTCGATCATGCTAGATGGATTGGGTTGTATATAGTGCTCCTGTGGTCCCCAAATAGATGGAAACGGTTTCTAATACATGGTTAGTGGGGATCTAGTTTCCTATCTATTTGGGGGTCTAAATGTCCCAAACACCCTGGGCCCAGTGGATCGTGATGGTTAGGTTGCAGGCCTTTCACTAATGAATACCGACTGTTACTGGTATTGGCACACCCCCAACTGATGGATTTGCAATTACTCCCCACAAGGCTCTGGCATGCCCTGGGCAGCTTTCCGTGTCTTCTTCCAGGAGTTCTGATGCGAACGGGTAGATGGGGCCTCCTCCAAGAGGTGCTGCGGAACTTGGGGGTGGTCCTGTTCCCCACCACCACCGCCGGGTTGGGGACCACACAACAGCTTCCAAAGCAACAGGGCAAGGCTTCGTGGGGCGAAAACAAGTCCGGTGCGAAGATCAGGTTCTTGCCACATGTTGATCTGGATAATCCTTCCGTCAAGAGGTGCTATGACTTGACCTTGTCATGCACAGGTTCAATCTCTCTTCACCAGGTGTCGGAAGGCCTCCCGGGCGTAAAACTTAAGCCATTCATCTTTCAAATTTCTAAAGCCATTGGCCGTTTGGTAAAGCACTCCGATGGATTGCATGGACCCCTTTCGAAGCACCAAGTGGATCAGCCAATTGTCTTGGCCATACTTGACCGCTTGCATCTGATTGGGTGTCCAAAGTTCTGGAAATCGCCCCCTCCTTTCCGGTAATGATCTGTGTTCTTATAAAAGCATTATTCATTGCTGCCAAACATATCGCTGAACTACCACCCTAACCCATCACAACACACTACTACACCACCAAAAACATCAATACATTACATTGACACACATATTAAAAAATATATATATATATTGTATATGTGGTGAATCTGGTGTCTTCATGTCTTCCGCTTTGCATGTCATGTGTCAATGGGTTCCACCGCCGACCGGTCCGACTCCATGGGGACTCGAGACGAGTCCTGACTCCCATGAGCTGGGGTGGAACAAAGCACCGGTCATTCATGCTGGCATATCCAGATATAGAACCCAATATGCATGTGTATGCATGTATTTCTTTAAAACAATATATTCTTAGACGTATATGGCTATATAGTACATATAGACATATAAACATTCTAGAATACCACTAAACATATGTGTCATTCATTCCTTTTCATCCATGTTTCGTGTCTGGGTTTCATCCCAAACCCCAGGGTCTTCGACATCGGTGCCTGTTGAAGGCGGTGCTCGCGCTGGGGCAAGGGCGCCGGCACCGAGCGGTAGGGAGACCCTGGAGATTTCGGGAAAACCGGTGGACAAAGCCGCAGTGGATGGGGAAAAGTATGTGTTTATGATATTTTTTGTGGCGGGAATTTGCGGGGTAGGCCATAGTATGACATAGCGAGGGTATGATTATATGGGATGAAATCGGATTTGGATGATTTGGAAGGAGAAACCTAAGCTCAAGTGCAAGGATTCTCTAAATAAGGAGCAAGAAGAAAGGGCCTGGCATAGAATCTCTAAGTATATAGCTGATGGTCTAAATTGCGGTTAAGGGATATCCGCCCCACACCAGGGTTCCAAGCTGGAACTTTCTAGTAGGGGTCTAGCAAATCCAGTACATGCCGCTAGAATGTGAAAGCACATGAGTGGGGAGTGTTGTGGTTGATAGTGCTGATCAATGAACTTTGCTGAAGAAAGAAGTGAGCACGGGACAAGCCCTCGATTGCAAATGCTCTAGGTGGCCGGGGCACTGCATCACACAACCGATTTTTTCTCATGAGGAATTACGCCGTAAACCGCAAACCCTTTTCATGGGGCTGGGGCTTGCACCTCCAGAATTGTAAGTGCGAGGTGCGGCTTTTCGGGCTTTTGTTTATATAAACCTTGGGTGTCCTATCGCCAATGGCTTGATTTCTGCTGCTAATTGAACACCTGTGCAGGGTGGCAATCCCAAAACGAGCTCCATTCAGGGGTCTGGGCTTCTCAAAAACCTTTTCATGTCGAGGGCCTGGCTTCATAGGGTAGGTAACAGTGGATGATGATGATTATGATGATGATGATGATGATGGTGGTTAGTATAGGCCTTCCTCCAACATAGTGATGATTGATTACTGACTGTTAAAGGTTCCTACTGTAGGACAAACCCAATCAAACTCTTCAAAACAGGATCGGTTCAATGACTACAGCCTGCCTGGATGGATCATCCTGATATGCACTTCCAGCCTTGGTAAGCCAAGAAAAAAACAAGGAACATCATCGTAGAATACGATCCATAGGATGTAGGGGGCACTCCAGGAGTTTAGGCCATATGATGATACGCTTTCTTCCATCGAGTTTCGCAAGAATAGCTCCACTGTGTAGCTGCGTTTGGTGCGTCACTGAAAACAAAGGTCCACCTGCCCCTGTTTCCCAGAAAGGTGTCCCAAACAAAGGTTGTTCGTCGTTTCTCTCATGGACGTCACCGGTTTGTCCCTGACACTGGCATCCTCGGCCTGTAGAGGGCGGACATACTCACAAGCTGACACACAAAGCACAGGGAAGCAAGCAGCACAGAAATAACACAAGGCCAAGTAAATAGATTGCGCCAAAATCAGTACTGTCACTAACACATGCCATGACACAAAGGTCGCCAAAAAAAGCACATGCATGACGCATACATGGCGCAACACGACCTTATGCAGGGCAACACCAACACACACCTTCAGAAGTCAGGCGTGACCTTGCAAATACATAAGTCACAGCAAGAAAAGAACCAACATGTTGAAGACAGCGGTGCGCTTTTCGGTTGTTTGCGCGATATCACAGAATGTTGCGCTCCTTTCGCAGAACTTGTGCGCTTATGTCATGCTACCACTCTGGTCCCCAAAAATGATATAATTGCAGTCGCGCAAAACGCATGCAAAGTTCCCATTAGGGGTTGTCCATGAACTCGAAATCAATGCCTGCTGCCCAAACTGCTGCAAAACACCAAAGGCATACAACAACATGAAAATATGAAAACAACAAAACACACATCGGCAAAGCCATGGCTCAATAAAGAAAGGTGCTCATTTGGGAGGCCTGGTGGGAGAAAATGAGTACCACTTACCAATTGTTGAGTACCAATTTGCGTGTACCATACGGTGGTCCAGGCATTGCAAACACTTGCACGTCTGTGAAATAAACGCTCAACCAAAAAAAGCGACTACGGCAATCAAACTGTGGCCTCTAAACTGCGTTCAGTCTTTGGGAATATGTACTGTTTAGCACTTGCAACTGATTAATCAATGCTTGAATAGCAGTTATTCTGCGAAAACACCACCATCTTCCCAGCCAGTTGTGCTGTGCAAACATTTGTCCACACTAAACGCTGCAAGGCCCGCCCAAAGTAACCAGGGTGGGTGTAGAGAAAACTGATTTCGTTTGCTGCAAATGTTACATGTAGTATTTCTTTCAAAAGGGCGTTGCCCGACCGAGCGGCTGATTCCTCTCTGGAAAGGCCTCGCAGATCGGCAGGGAAGTGGGTCATGGACCGAATGTGGGCAAGAAATTGAGTCTCGGAGATGTCAATCTGCCGCAGCCCATTGTCCACTTCCATGTTTGTTGGAGGTAAGGGAAATCATCTTGAGGCTCCTCAAGCAAGCCACATGAGTCTGCAGTACACTTTGCATATGTATGGCATTGTATGGCTAAGCTAATATGTTTTATGTGTATATACATGTATATGTATAACATGTTGCATGATGTTGATATATTTTGTATTATTTTGTAGTATATTGTATATGTATATTGTATATATACATATATATATATGGCCAAAGTGAGAGAAAGCCAAGGGTCACCTCAAACGTCATTCCTACAGGATTCCTGCACATCAATGCGCATCAAACCTCGACTGGATGCCCAACCAAACCACCGTGCAGTTGCAAGGAACCATTCCACTCAGAGCAAAGGAGACACGATATGAACCAGGAGCCACAAAAAGGGGTGCTGTTGAGGGACCTTGAGCAAGTCGAAGATGGGAAAAGCCGTGGGTTCCACCGACCAGCCCCAAACCAGGTGCCCCTTCGTTTGATGAATTCCTCCTCCGTTCGGGAAACTCCCGCCTCCGTGCAGTAGCCACATCCCAAGAAGGCTTTGGTCCCATTGGCCAGCATTTTTTCTCCGGCAATCCTGGATCGCGGTTGGCGGATCGGTGAGGCAAAGACCTACGAATGTCCCATACTTGGAGTAGAAAATAACCATATGATATCGCCATATGGCTGTAGGGGAGATGTTGGTTGAACATGAACGGAATGGCCTACCAGGGAGGTCAACCTAAGGTTTAGGAACCGCTTTGACCCACGGCCATATCACTGGTTGCCGGGTTTCTCCCAGGTGAATGGATCACACATATTCAGCAGCAACTTGTTATTTGGGCACATGTGCGGCAGTTTGGCATGACCAAACACATGAAGAAAAAATCATCAATTAAGTTCATTGAAACCATGATTGATCCGTGCCATACAAAAAGGCGAGGTCAACAATAGCTCCTCATGACATCACGGACCTCTACATCCGTGGAAGAAACCGTCGATGCGTGTAATCAGATCGCTTGCAACCTGTTGGTGATCCTCTGGCCATATGTGGTCTCTTGGTCTTCATTCGCATGTAGACGCTTGACAAATACACCCCCTATGTTGGTAAAAAAATATACATATGTACACTTACACCAGGCATGAAAAGTAATTTCCTTAAACTCAAAGATCACTTGAACCAAGCTCTTCGCAGCTTTGTATCCGCGACACGTTGGTCCCCTTTCGAACTGGTGGCGAAACGGCTCAGACCGAAGAATCGATCGAACTGGCTGGACGTTCCGCCCCCTTTCGTTCTTGCGCCCTTCCACCTCGTGGGGTGCTTTGATAGGGTCACCGCAGGTCATTCCCCCCCCAAAAAACCTGGGTGTCGACGGGGTCCGCGGGCATGAAATGGCCCGACAGGTCGTGCATGGCCAAGTCTCGATCGGAAGATGGGACAAAAAGCTTCGGTGCCGAGAATGGGACACCACTTTTGAGCCCAAGGGCTGATAATGGAAACAACAGATGCAAAAAGACAGGCAGAAAATGGCAGAAAACCGCCACAGGACTGTTCTCAGGGTCCATTGACAGCCTGGTTTTAGGGCTACCCCCTTGCGGAGGACCACATCAACTCTCAAAATGACTAGGTTGGTGAACGAAAATTGTCGAAAGCTCGGGCTCTTTCTTCTCAAGGACCCTGATCGGATCGACTTCGGGGAGGGACTCTCTCTACCAAGCAACTTGGCCCAAATAAGCCCTAGGGCTCCTGGCCCAAATTTTCAGGTGGTTAGACACCCCAACTCCCCCTCAGACCACCTTCTCAGGTAGGCCAGGAGCCCGAAGAACGAGGCATGTTTCGAGGCATCTCGTTTTCGCAACTCCTCTGACCCCCCGTGCCCAGCACAGACCCGATCGCGGGCTCCGTGCCCACTCCATGCCGGACCGGACCGGTCCGACGGAGTCCGACTGGTCCGAGCTCCCCAAGAGCTTGTGGAGCTCCATATATATATATAACTATATATATATATGGCTAGGTTACTCCACCCAAATCCACACCCTCCCCCCTTGACGGCCCGCGCCACTGGGGAAGACCGACTGAGCGGTGACCGGAGGTCCGACATCTGATGGACGCGACTCGAAGGGAAATGAGGGAATGAACCCCCCCAGTGATAGATTCCAGACTGAATCCAGCCACCCTCATTCCTGGCGAGTCGCACCGGTTTGGGATTCATCGCTGGGTTCACCACTGGTAGAGTCAAGTAGGTCTGCAAGGGGTCCTTAACATGTCTCGGTCACCTCGAGGAGTGTACGTACAACCCTTAAGCCAAGGGACACCCCTACAATGGAGCTTGCCCATGAACGATTCTGTTGAATGTTACACTCCCGAAAGCTAACATAGACCCTGACAATGGCCCCCTGGAAGATTGTTTTCCTCTACCAACCAATGGTTTTCAGGGTCCATGGGATCGTCTTCCAGGGTGTATCCTGCATCATGTGATCTGGAGCCAGCCGAACCACATCGCTGTAAATCCTTGGTGTCCTTGTATCCATAAGAGACTAAGAGAACTTCTGGCCAACTCTGGCCACAAAGCTTCCGATTCCCGATCGTCCGTGACTATATGTGTTGAAAGTCATTGCAAGCGCATGGTGATGAGTCTGTTGATGTGACTTAGACTTTAAATGACCTTGATACAATGACCACATAGTTTAACCCATGCTGCTGAACTTGGAGGTAGCTATTCCTGGAACAACTATGGGAGGAGGATCAAACTGGAGCACTGTCCCCAAACTCCCCTGGACAAGTACACTCAACAATCACGCATCAAACCGGGTGCTGGGGGGGTGTAGCAATAGATGCCGCGTGACCCCATGGATGCTTCCTCAGCACTCTGGGAGAATAATGGAGAATATTTACTTCATGTTTGCCAACAGCTACACAGATGTCATTGGCATTGTCCTGCCTTAGAACGCCTTTCCAACTCCATCAAACACCCAATCTCTTTGGCACGTCCGGATCTAGTCTAAGATCACCTCTCGACCGGCTCAGCCAACCTGCCAGACTCTCTGCAGCTGCCAGGAAGGTCACTTGATTGGCGCAAAGGCGCCAAAGGCGCAGGTGGCCTCAGAGAATGCACGTGCAGCCGGCGCCACCCTCCAATGGAGCTGAATAGATCATGATGTGTCCGTGCACGGTGAGAACATCCACCCAATGCACCGACTGGCCCCCAAGTTGAGCTCCCCAACTGGCAACTCAGAGTCTGTGGCAAACTTCCCTTGCAGACCTCTTGGGACCGTCCGGGACCTGTTGGGACCGTCCGGGACCTGGTGGGACCGTCAGGGACCTGGTGGGACCGTTAAAGGAGACTGATTTATAGTTCAATCCCTCCATGAGATTCCCCTCCCGCAGGTGGCAGGTGTTGGCATTCTTGAGTGGCTTTCCCTTTCGGCATGATGAATGAATGACTCCATTTTCTACAGACGTTGACCCCTGCCATCGTCCAAGGCAATGGGATACCATGTGTTTTCATGTGTTTTCACAGCCTTGCGCACCACCCGTTCACGGTCTTCAGAAGCTGGGTGGTAGATGTGAACCGGGATCCATCCAAATGCACCGCCCTCTCAGACCCTCTTCTTCACAGCACACATCGCCGGAGGTCACCAAACCGACTAAGCCTGCACCCATAGCTTCAATTCCCAAGCATGCTCCATGTAGCCAATCATTCTGCATCCACTCAGTCATGTGTCCTGAATCAGGGATGTTCCTCTACCTCCAATATCCTCCAACCCCAAATGCTCCGTGTAGCCAATCATTCTGACCTCAGCCTCAGGGCCTGGAGATTTTTCTGCCACATGTTTGGGCTTTTGGGGAGCATTTTGGGAGCCAAATAGTCACACCAAGGAGCTGAACAAAGTCGTCACCTGCGTCCAACGCTGTGGACCTCCTCCCCGAAGCGCGCTCAGAGCAGAAGTGGCCGTGAGCAGGTCGGGCACTTGACGCGCACGTGTCCAGCGCAGGAGGTGTAAGGATTGGAGCCAGGCTGTGGAGAAGGCGCCTGAGGTGTTGATGGAATGTCATGGCGGAATGACCGAATGTGGAGGCAGTTTATGGCAGTCTGGCTGGATTTTTTGGTTTTGCTTTGTGAGTGTTCGACTTGTTGATGCCCTGAGTTGGATGTTGAGCACTCTTAGTGGGATGATTCAGGTCTTGAGAACAAAAACATGAAACATGCGTTGGACATTGGGATCCATAATCTATATATATATATTTGGAAATCGCCAACTGGGGTGTGGACACACCCCTGACCACCAAATGCGAGCCGTGATGGGTAATTACAGTACAGTCGTTGTCCGTTTGGTTGCTTTCAGGATACCTCATAGCAGCCTCACCAAGCTGCCTCTGGATGACTGGGATGGGACTATAGTTATGCCCTATGACCTCCAATTCCACCCACCCCCTTTAAAAAAAATAAATAAATAAACATGGCTTGCGTGGATTCTCCAAACTTCAACCCAAGGCAGGCCAGAGCGTGACGGCGACTGAGGACCGGGTCCAAAGGAACGAACCCTGGCACCGAACGAAGGAAGCTCCGAAGGAAGGAACGAAGGAACCGTCCTCGAAGCGAACTCCGGGTACGAGGTGAACTCCCGCAGCTGTACTCAAAAACACATGGGCGCTGCCGTCGTCATCATGCCACCCGAGAGGTGGATCTGTTTGAGGCTCCTCCTCCCGTTAAAGCAAGATGCAGCTGGCGTGGAGCGCATTGCTGGCCACGAGGTTGGGTTGAAGGCCCAAGTCGAGCAACTGGTGGAAGAGCTGAGTAGCCACGCGCCAGGCATCTTGACAGCCTGTGGTCAAACATGTCATAGGAACTTGGTGATTGCTTGACGGTGTGCATGTATGTCCCCCAAGAAGTGCTGGTCAATTTGCGATTCCTACAAATGGATGTCATAGGAGTTTGGTACTGATTTCGATTCGATTCCCACCATGCAAGTCGCTGAATGCAACCAAAAAGAAATTGGAAGCAATGGTCCCATCCGGTTCACTTCCAAAGGGGAAACCACGCTGTTCAGCGTCCGAGAAAAAAACAGGCTCACGGTTCACCTTGTTCCACCATGTCCCTTGTGTGGCCACCGGGATGGTGAACATGTCACGTGTCTTTACCGCACCCCTTTGCACCTAACTATACAGTATATAAGCTTACCTAAATTTGTCGGAACAAAAACTTATTAATGCTAATTACAAGTGAAACAAACTCCAGTATCTTTGCATGGATGCATGATCTTGCCAAGGTGACATGCATCTGTGACATTTTACAATGGGTGTTTTGTTGTTGTTGTTGTTGTTCCCTTTGCTCATTTACTCTCCACTTGATTGGAGACCTACAATTTGCCCCCGGGCCCCCCCCTGCTTGGTTTGGTTCTCTTTGACCCGTGGCAGATTCAGCAAGGGCTGCAAAAACACATAAATACATGTGTCGGGCGGCGTCAAGTTCCAGTGGCTGCATCAAGCAACCATTGATGTTTCTCCCATGTGCCAATCGAGTGGGATGCATACACTCCGAGTCGAAGACAGTCTGAGTGTCCCAAACAAACAACTTCTTGGCCAGAAACCATCAATGATGCTGGTGAAGGTGGCCACCTCCTTGGCTCCAAACCACTCCTGGACGCGGTGGCCCCTCTGGTCGAGGCAAATGGACCAAGAGTCATTAGTATAGTTCTGTGTTTTTGAGTAATGACTTGTACTCTCTCTCTTGTCTATTAGCTACCTTACCTTTTGAAATGTTGATGTCCCAAATTGACACTTAGTTGAAAACAGCCCAAATTGATTGTTTCCTATGAAAGCCGTGTCTACTGTAATGTCCTTTGTTTTTCGACATTGCTTTACTTGGAGTGATCCCCACCAAGGGAAGTCTGACATGTGTTCTGACATGTCTTCAGGCATTCAGAAGTGCAACAACAAGTTTACTTTTCTTCAGCGGACCGATGCGGACGGTTTGTACTCTCAGCCTGAACTCATATCGTGAGATACCTATGATCATAAAAATTGTTGGATTGGATTCTGATGGATTTTGTCTATTGACATCTATTGACCAATAGTTCGGCAATGGTCTAACCTGATCTGTTGGGCATGGACCACTCATAATTGGCAGCGCCCTCCCCACGAGCGCGTCTCCAGCAGCTCCAGGGACCACCTCCAGCTCTGCAAGCGCAAAGCGCCCCAGACCGCACGCGCGCCCACTTCATCGGCTGAGGACCTCGCGCCGCGCGCGGCTTGGAGCGCCAAGGCCCAGGCAGCGCGGCGTTGGTGCGCGCCCAGGAGGGCATTGAGGTGAAAGGTGTCGGGGCGAACCTGGGTCCGTGGATGAGATGCAAAGGGCGAAACTTATTCATTTGCATTTCATTAGAAGTAATTCGATGTCCAAAACAAGCCACGCATCAACACAATATCAAGCATCACCTTGTTTATTGCGAACGGATGGAAAGGTGTGCCCTGGCCCCGTTCTAGCTCTTAGGTTAACATGAAGCTCGCGCGCTAAAGCTCCTTTTTACCTGGTTGGGCACTTGAGCCAAAAGTATATGGCATGTACCTGTATAGTGACTATACTGGGACCCCATCCCTATTGACACCCCCCACATCCGTACTTCGACGGGGAAGGGAGATGAGTGGATGTAAAAACCGGAGAACGAATCACGTTCTCAAAAGTGTATTGGAGGTCAACCAGTATGTCCTATTGAATTGAATTAGCAAAAGGACTTGCATTCGCTTGAAAGTTGGATCAAACAGGCAATGGAGCTACAAGCGGAAAACGTGCACCTACCTATGGTATCATGCGATTACCAACGGTGTGAAACACAATCCTATCTCACTCCCATGATGCCAAAACGGTCATCATGAATTACCCAAGATCCCTCAGTACTTGAAGTACCGGAAGTGGCATGTCGGTATGACCCCAATGCTCAACCATTCGTGAGTTGTCGCATGTAGTCAGCGCCGACAAAGCCAATGTAGTCCTTGATGAGCTCAACGTTCCTTGGATTTCCCGCTCGGATCTGCTCCTCGAAGGACTTCAATTTCTGTGCTTGGATAGCGGATACCTCTATGCCATAGTAGCGGCATGCAACGAGGATCTCCTTCGTGACATTCTTCCTCTCCGATTTGATGGCGGGACTAATGTCGAT